CCCTTTACCATCAGTCCACTTACCATTCCACTTCTCTACCAATTAGTGTCAATTCTTTAATTCAGTGTACCGTAAATGACCAAATCCAACCCTACGACGAACTTTGCGATCCTTGCCCTGCAGATAGATCTTGTTCGCTGCGGACATTGGAGCGTTTCAGATTTCAGGAGTTGACGCGGCGCTAGCCAGCTTCTACACTAATTCAGGTCACCTGCCAGCTTAAACAACTGAAGGAGAACAGGCTGGGAAGGCGTCAAACGCAACCCCTCTCAAACGCTCAGAGTTGGCAGCGAACAAGTTTATGTATATAGAAACAGTGATCATTATGGAGATGTATAAGAGAGCGGTGTCAGTCACTACAAAACCCCTCGCCCTCCCCGCTTCCCCCCCCCCTTTCCAACCAACCTAAGCTACGACCGAGAACGTCACTCGCCTTATCAAATCTACCCAAAAAATTAGTGTAAGAGGAATGGCTCGACTACCAAAGTTCAGAAACAGTGGTATCGGAGCGCCACCGACTAGTTAGAGGGGCTCACAAGGGAATGGTTTGAACTTCCCATGGAACTTCGAATGGAGACCTAGGTACATCGATAGAGCCTCGAATGCTGATTACGAATATGCAGATTAAAAGTGCTACGGGTCACAGTTTTGCCCAGAATCGCAATTTGGCCAGACGAGCGTTTTTTCGTCGAAGGATGTGATATTCGTGTTCAGGGGGTCGAAATCTCCCATGAACGAGTTTCTCGCCAAAACTTTGAATTGGGATGGGTAATATGTTCAGAGAGGGCAGATATGACCAAATCCATACTAGATCGAGTACGTCGTATACTTGATGTACTTGATCTACTTGCCCTGCTGGGCCGTAAACTCGGAAGAATTTCGAAAATTAGAGTTGAAGCTCTTATAGGGAGCGAAGCAAAAATTTTCGCGCCAACCGGATGCAAACCCGCGTGCGTTTGACTTGAAAGCGAGACCATTACCACGAGGCCACGGTGGCACTGCCGAGACATCGATCAGCAGCGCTTACGAGCCAAAACTCTTTTCGCAAACTTTGACCACCCAGATCTCGTCTGGGAGGTCCCCGTAGCACTTTTAATCTGCATATTCGTAATCAGCATTCGAGGCTCTATCGATGTACCTAGGTCTCCATTCAAAGTTCCATGGGAAGTTCAAACCATTCCCTTGTTAGCCTTAGAACTAGACTTAGAATTGTTCTCTCATCGCTGAATACGATCCCCTCTGAAGCGCCAAAATAGGACTCCTGCGAGGGAAAGCACAATGATGACTCACCTGTCAAGGTGCAGTAATCAAAAGAGGGGGATTAGGCTGCGTTCATACCGTGCGACGTCGTCGCCAACGTCGACGAAAGCTGCGTCTAGTTGGTGAAGATTATTTTCCGACGAAAGCTGCGTGAGTTGCGTGACCGTCGAATCGATACATATCTATTCTTCGCGAAGTAGTCGTCGGTTACGCAGCTTACGCAACTTACGCAGCTTTCGTCGGATCGATACGTATATAATCTTCACGAACTAGTCGCAGAAAACGCAGGTTACGTCGACGTTGACGACGTCGCACGTGAACGCAGCCTTAGAGAGTTATTATGTTAGGGGTAGGGGAGTGCGCATCGCAGCACGACACGCGATCTCTACCTCTTCTAAGTCTGACCATTGAAAAAGCAGACAGCTAGAAATAACCTCATCTCAGGGCGCGGAAGAGTGGACATCGCAGAGTCGCGATGCGCCCTCCCACCATACCCCGCCCTGTAGTACTACCCACATGAGAGGGAGTTTGATGGTAAAATAGCTGTCAGGCTAAACCTAGCATCCCTATAAGTGTCCACTACGAAAATATTGCTCAGAGTTCAGCTTGTGATTTTCAGGGACCAGACGGAATTTTTAAAACGTCAAACTGCAGAGCAAATTCTATGAAAAAGACGACTCTCATGCCGATTGGGGGCATAAGCTAGAATGTATCCAATGGATTTGCTCCGTCGACGGTACCGGTAACATCTCGGTCGTCGAAGAACTTATCAAGTAGATCTCATTGAGATGGCTAGCAATCATCGTCCTTGTCAGATATCTTCAGAAATTACGCTCTTTTAATTATATGTGATATTTCGATTCGTTCTGCATGCATGCGTTTCAGTCCCGTTAGCGTTTCCATGCAATAATCCCACTACCAACCGCTCGATTCTTGACAACTTCCATGTTCCGTTCATAATGAGGTATCTGCTGTGCTGTGTTTATTGAAAGAAGTCCAACTTCTCTTTTGTCGTTTCCAACGAATTCAATGAATTATAAAGTTTTATCACAAAAAGAAACTCAACAATCAATCACAAAAAGGCAAGTGAAGCTAAAACTGCGGGTTTTCGAAGCTTTGAAAAAAGCCTTAAAGTTGTTCAGATCTCATAAGGAACATACATATCGTTCGTTTGTTGCGTTACCCTGATGAATGTCGTACGTTTGGAAAGTTCCTGAAAAACCTTCCAATTTATGCCGTGGCTCTCGTTTAATAGAAAGTAGCACAAGAATCCTGCGCAACAAAATCAATTTCGCTCGTTCGGGCTAATAACTTCGGGGCATTTTAAAGCATGCTGCGCTTTCATATGATACTCAGTCACCTTTGCTGTCCGCAAACACGAAGAATGTCCCCTTACTGCAGCTCAAAAACCCCTGAAAAAAGCGCGACCAGCCATAGGCAAAGCCATGGCCCCGCCTACAGGCCACGGCGACGCCCATCCTTCGCTTGCAGAGGCTTTCTGGTGATGCGATTAATTCAGTTCCGGCTCTCTCCATCTCCATTGCTGAAGGAGAGGTGATAAGAAAAAAAGGTGTGCGATAAGAAAATCGTAATAGGTCGCGCTGATAGACGTGGAAAGCGACGCTGCGTTCGAGCTGGGACGAGTTGTCCTGCCTGGCCGTTTGAATCTGAGTTTGAGAGGGACGGAAAAATTTGACATCTCTTATGAAGTCGTCGTGTATTGATTTCATGTGCTGCACGCTCCAATCGACAAACATTGCACATCGAGAGTTTGCCGCGTGTTGCCGCGCATGATGCATCGCGCGCGACAGCGCGTAGAACTGCGATTGCCTTGTTCGTCTTTCAATAATTTCAAAGACATCTGAAGAGGTCTGAAAAGGTACCAACGTCATCGGGGCACAGATAGTGACCTCTAGATTCGTTCATCAACCCCGGACCTCCTATCTCTCTGAGCAAAAGTCCTCACTTTCATTGCGAGAACAAGAAGTTAATCAAGAGCTCTCTTCCAAGGTTATTAGCACACAACATAGCTTCCTCTTTCGCATTCTACACACAAGAAATTGTTGGGCGGCCCAACAATTTCTTTATCAGTTCCTTCGAAATACATCAAAACACTCTGTTTATCTGCGATTCAAGAGAAGACCGACAACAAACTAGAAACTGAGAGAAGCGAGGCGCCGGAAACCGCTTCGATTGAAAATCGAGGAGGGGAGCGGGGGAGAGGGGGGGGTGGGGTGGTGATAGAGGTTCTGAAGAATTCGGTAATTATAAGCGCAAAAGGCAAACGACAAAATGAAAGGTTTTGGTATTCAGATGGCACCCTTGTGACTGAGGCCAAACTGAAATAAAGAAGAGATGAGCCGAAAGCGGCCCGACCATGAGAGCAACTTTTTCCGGCTTAGACTCTAGGGGACATTCTTAGGGCCCCTTGCGAAAAAACAGAATACCTACAAGAAGATAAGGACTCTTACCTAGTCTGCCAAGGCCTAAAGGGAGGCAGGAGCTCCTGGGTTGGTCATCAGATCGAAGTATAGGGACCCTACTGGTTAAGGAGATGGTACAGAGACAAAAGGACCGGCTTCCGCTCAGGCCCGCTAAGCCTCCCATCCCTACAGATAGGCTAAGTGGCACCATAAGCCATGGAAGAGGATGGGAACACACTTGTACATTAGCTCGCTCCCGCAAGTCATTGTTTATGCCATGTCGCATTTAATAAGCTTTCAATTCTGAATAGAAGTAGAATGCGCGCCATGTCCAAAAAGGGATTGTAAACAGGTCGAACTTGATTGTTTTGGCTCTATTCGGATGACAGCGAGGATCCTAATTTTGCACAAAGAGAGTCTTGAACGAGGGTATCAGTGCCCCCCCCCCAGGTCCCGTTATAGCAGAAACCAACCGCACTTCACACAAAGTGACTAGGCTCCGAATATAGAGATTGAATCGGTACCAAATTAGTCATAACTCTAATAAGAGCGCATTCACACGTCCACACTTCGCGATTCAATCGCGCGATCCGAGCGATCGGATCGCCAGGTATGAACGCGCTCCGAAAAATCGTAATGAGCTAGTCGCTGGAAGAAAAAGAAAACCACATTTTCCAGTACCTTAAGCTTAGCAGCTCCAGTATACGTGCATGCAGATCTAATTCCACCCAGTATATCCTGTATAGTGTTATTTACGTCACCTCTAAAGTATCATAAATTAGAGTTTAAGATATAATACAAACTACAACTAAGAACTATTCGGAAAAAAATGAAATGAAGGAACTACCTGTAGGGAATTGTGATGGTTTTCCCTTCACTGGCTCTGTATTCCGCGACGCTTCCATGATGCTTATGCATTGCCGTGTCCGAGCTCATACCATAGAACAGCTTGTACTTCTGGAACGTGAGAAACTGGTCGTAGAAATCGAACGTAACAAATTTGCTGATACCCGTCCATCTTTTTCAATGAGGTCACCACCACTCTGATCGTGTCCGGCGAACAAACCACCAATCATGACAAAATCAGCGCCTGAAAAAAAGCCATTGCCGCTGCCAAGTATGAACGCTCGAGGCCGCGTTCATACTTTACGCTCAGCGATTCAGAGTCGCACCACTAGACAAACCACGACCGTCAGTCGTTAGACAACTCAACCACGGTACAGATCGTTGGGGAGAACCCACCCCATCAGGAGAACGTTGTTGGCCTCTGGAGAGAGGGGAGCGGCCGTATTTCGTAGATAAGGGTCGTGTCTGTACTTTAAAACGATAGTGGTCCACAGAAATTTGCATGATTGGAAACAACCTCACCTCGCCAGAGGTAGTTTTCTGGAGGAAAGCAGTTTCGTCCGAAACAAGGAAAAAGTGGTAGGAAGTTGGGCAAGAAAGGTAGCCCATCACGATGGTACCCTGATTGAAAAAGGTCCTCTCTGGAATATGACTAGATATTAGCTGCAGCGATCCAACAAGTAGCGGTAGAGCGCGATCGGAAGCAGACGTGCGACTCTCTATCGCTCGAGTCGTAATGTACGAACTTGGTCTAATGAAACAATCGGAAAAAAAAACTTTGTTTCTAGTACGACTTACCTCCACCGAATGCTTTGGCCACGTCGCCCGGGTTCGTGCAACCCCCGTCGCTTATTACATGCCCATTCAGGCCATGCGCAGCATCCGCACACTCCATGGTCTGAAAGAAAGCAGTAATGCATCGTCATACAAATCTGATAAAATGCCCAATCATGGACGAAACTATGTATACAAAGACGCACAGCGCTCAATTGAGGGTATCCAACTCCCGCTTTCTTGCGCGTAGTGCAGACGGATCCCGGACCAATTCCTACCTGAACACAAAGACACATAGTGCGGATATCGAAGGGTAGATATGCGGGAATGGCGAGAATTTACCTTGACAATATCAGCTCCAGAAAGAATCAGCTCTTCGACCATTTCACCAGTCACTACATTTCCTGCCATGATGGTGTGCCTGAATGAAGAGGGTATTGTTCTACGACTGCGCTCTTACTTTGCGTCAGCGTTTTGAGCGTAGGGCAGCATGTTCAGCGGCCGCCCGTTAAAAGTTCAAACATACCTGCGGAACGCTCAAAACGCTAGATCGATGTCTATAGCCTCCTAGCAGCTCAAAACGCAGACGCGAAGAATGAATGCACACTAATCATTGGAGCACGACGAAAAGAAATCAAGGAAGTACCCAGGGAACTGCTCTCGAACTTTTCGAATAAAGTCAATAAAGTATTCAGAGTAACCGTTGGCAACATCAATACAGATATATTCCAGAGCCGGTACTTCGTTACAAATTTCGCTCAACTGAAAATGGAGGCAACTGAAAAATTCACATAAATGACACAACAATAACAAATGCAACATGCAAGCAAATGGCTGATTACAATAAGGAAACAGCTATGCCTCATACAAGCTCGGGCAAAAAGGGATAATAAGGATTAAGGTTAAAGTCGAACGATTCGACAGCGCGATGCAAACGCTCGAGCGATCCAACCGTGCTACACAAGTGATCGGATCGCGATATATGAACGCACGCGCAGAGCATGGAGTACGACATGTCGCCGAGTACTAAGTATTCCAAACGGCTATAAGGACATTTCTGACACCTTCTGGTTGCGCTTATATGTATGTGTGTGATCAACAAATAAAAGAAAAGAAACAAAATATGAAAAAGACGAAGTGGAAAATGTGCGACGATAGAAGGAGATAAATGAGCAGAAGCAGAAATTAGCAGGAAGCAGAAACCTCGCCTTTACTGCCCCAGTTTTCAAAGTTTCGACCGCGTAATATCAACCTCTCTGTCAGAATAGAACGTACCTTTTCAAAATCACGATCAGATATTCCTGAAGAAACAGCAACGTGGCTGAACATCGGCGTCTCTTTGAATCCAGCATAGAACTCTTTCCATTCATCCAACTGAATTTCGTACATCAGAAGTAGTGACCATAAAGCTTAGCTCATCTCTACCGTAACCCTAGGGAACCTCTTCTATCACATCGCGATATCTTCAATCGTTTGTGCTCTCCACCTCATCTGTGCGGATACTACATCCTTTCCTCAAGCCTATAAAGATAGATGACCGTCGCAACGGCTCAGTCAGCCGTTTGCCCCCTGCGATTACCTTAGGCTGCGTTTATACTTTGCGGCAGCGTAGCGTAGCGTAGCGCAGCGTAGCGCAGCGTAGCGTAGCGCTTCCAGCGTACGCCAGCGGCAGTGCCGAAGAGAGGATGCATATCGATCTAGCTTCACCAGCG